TGATTATAGAGAATAAAATGAAATAAAATGTCCCTTAATTGTTTAAGAAAACATGTTATGACCATAAAAAATGAACAGAGTTCTGTTCTTTAAAGGAGGCCTTCCGTGGTCAAGTTCAAAGGCAAGTGGAACGTTTATTCCACCCAGGGTGACCACTACATTCTACAGAAGTCCGTTAATCACTCATTCATTCAGATCAGGTGTGTTGGAACAGAGAAACCTCTAAGAGTTGCAGGATAGTGGTCCACCAGGACCGGACCCCCTGGTCTAACTTGTTGGAGCAGAGAAGGCAGCAGACAGTAGAGGACTATTCCAGCTGTCTGTTAGATAATTATTTGTAGTTCTCTGTTAGTTCAGTCCCTGCTGACAGTCTGTCTCTGTCCTTTCCTGTCCATCAGATCCTGCGTATCTGTACCAGGTACACTCCTGACCAGGACACCATGACTTTTTCAGATGGACTGACCCTGAACCGGACTCAGATGCACAACGCTGGCTTTGGCCCACTCACTGACTTGGTTTTCACTTTTGCCAACCAGCTGCTGCCCATCGAGATGGATGACACAGAGACAGGCCTGCTCAGCGCCATTTGTCTCATCTCAGGAGGTGAGTGAAGCCCAGCAGAACTCTGAGCAGAAACATCACTTTATATTAGGATTTTTATGTCTTCCGCATACAAATTTATCTTATTTTTTCAAGAGTTTTGGTCAACCGTAGCACAGAAACAACTGCACCGATCAACGTGACATTTGGTAGGAATGTGGAAGTGTCTGACCTACACTATGCCAACCAACGGTTTTATGATAGACCCCATATTTGATGAGGGGGCTCCATCTAAGAAAAGGTGTGTTTGGTCATGCAAAAATGCTTATAAGTCAAAAACTATACATTGTAGGAGCTTCAGATTTTTTTTTTTGCTATTTAGCTCTGATGAAAGGCTATCCAATGGTCCCACCAATAAGCCCCACCCTCACCCATCTGGTACCCTTACCAAAACAATGAATCTGTTCTGGTGAGTTCTGAATTCTTGTGCATTTGGTGCGGGGGTCATATATACTACCACTATGCTGTATCTAGTTATGCTCCATGTTAATTGCAGCTGTGTTTAGCAAGAAGTTAGCAGATCCCAAACATTTTCAGCACAGCTCTGAACAATTGAAGCTTCACACAGTCTTTTAACAGTTTTCTAAACCCACACACAAGCCACATAGCCCCTAAATACACATTAGTGTAAAAGCCTATGATTTAAAATCACTTCCATTCAGACTCATGACACAAGTTAACCAGTCTCTATAGCAATGTCTTCTTTCCCTTGTCTGAGCAAACAATAAGCCCTTGATTAAAGCACTATTCTATTAAACCTATCTACCACATGGTTAAAGGTCAGGCTGTCATGCTGTTGACTGTGGCAACTTATTTTAAACAAAAAAAACTGCATGCAAATAATAAATTTAACATATTAAATGTCCACCACAAGTCTTAATTAACCCTACAATAAAAAATATTCCCAACTTCCATCTTTTATGTTTTGTTCCACCAAATGACATGTTTGGTACTAATTAACAATAAAATAGATGGAGAACATGTCAGATCAATCCTGTAGTTTCAGATAGAAATAAAAGTTAAGGCTGAATTATAGTTGCCCTTTGGAGCCCGCACACAGCATGCGCGCACCCTCGCTGACAGTGGAGGTGTTTATACTTGGCATTTACGTTGTTGTAGATTTCTCCAAAAGGACAAGTGGAAGTATACTTTATAACTTGTAAATATGCTGTAAGTAGGAGAGCAAAAGCTTAACAGACAAACAGACTATATAGTGCACGGCGCGCGCAGCCTTTGCGGAGTTACAAAAATTCGGAGGTGCACGATCTCGCGCCAGGACAGTGCGTGGGGCCAATGTGCAGGGGCGAGGACATCGTGTTTGTGTCACTAGCTGTGTTTACATGCGCAAAATTCTTTGATAGGATGAAATGTATTCAGATTAAATAATCAGAATGTATTGTTTACATGGGCACAATCCGATCATGACGAGTGTTTACATGCACCAGGTTTTTATCCAGAATAGAAGCACTGACATGAGCAGTTGCCACCCCCCCCCCCCCCTAAAAAAAAGAAAGTTTTACTTTTGTCATGAAGATAAACAAACAGCTTCTGTACGGAGCCCGCGAAGGGGACATGGGGGGATTTTTTTTGTTTTGCGTTCCCTCACAAAAAATTGTTTTGTATATGAACTGAATTAAATCAGACTTTTATTTTGAAATATCCGGTTACCAAAACAAGATGTCTCGCCACAAGTTCGTGAAAATGATGTTGTGTGGCTGCACTGTGTTAAAATATCAGCATTTGACATACTTCCATGCTTGGTTGTGTGATATATTCATTCTGAAGCTGAATTAAAGTAGTAGGCTAACGCACTAATGGTGAACATGTGAGTTTGTTAATAAACCGGCAGGCACAACAGTGATAAACAACTTTTGTGAGGGAACAGTACTATTGCGTGGGAACGCAAAAGAAAAAAAATCTCCCGTGTCCCCTCGCTGGCTCCATTCTTCTGAGCTCAGAATGGTCCTGTGACAGCGTTTAATAATGATAGAGACGTTACTCCCTGGTGAAGCTACAGGTGACAGGTGGGCTTTATTTTTTTCGAAGCAGTGCAGGCTGTTTGTCTTCCTTCTTTATTGAATGAGAGAATGGGAGGAAACATTCTGTGCTGCTGGAAACAGTGCTGCTGTCCCTCCCTCCTCAAAATATCGGAAACTGGTGGATGAAAGTCATCAGACATGTGCAGTCAGGTCAGTTTTCCACAATCAGAATAAGATGATTGGATTAAGGGTTTACATGCATGTTGTTCAGATTATCAATTGGCATAAAGCACCTCTCTCATTCCGATTACAAATTCATTCGGATCGAGCTGAATTGGGTCAGAATAATCTGACTGGGGTGTTTACATGATGCATTTTTATTCTGAATGGCCGGTTAGTCCGATTACTTATGTCCATGTAAACATAGCTAATTATGGCGTGCACCCCCGCGCCTGGTGTGACGCGTCAACTATAAACCTAGCTTCAGCTGTCTTAGTGGATCTCCTCCTCCTCGTTCTGTCCTCTTCTGGTTTCTTTTCTCTCCTCACCTACTTTTGCTGTCTTTCTTTGCCTCCTACACAGTCACAATATTAGAAATGTGAAGTCTATTAATAAAAATTTATTGCTGAAAGAACAATCAAGATTATCTGTTACACTTTGTGAGTTATGTTTACTTGGACATAAGTAATCAGAATAAACGCCCAATCTGAATATTCTGATCTGATTCAGCTCGATCAGAATTCATTTATAATCTGTATGAGAGGGGTAGTTTATGATTGCTAATCTGAAAGACGTTCAAATAAACATTAATCTGATCATGTTATTCTGGTTGTAGAACTGACCGGACTGCTCCTGACTTCAGACTTTCATCCACCGGTTTCTGCTAATTTGTGGAGGGAGGGACAGCAGCTCTGTAGTTGTTGACAGAAAAACGGCAAGCATGGCTTCACCTGTAGCTCGATCAGGGACAGCAGTAACGTCTCTGCTGTTATTAAAACCTGCTGCAGGTCCATCCTAATCTCAGAAGACTCAATGTTTGTTTATGTTCATCACTAGCCTGGCCCTACACAGTTCTGCTCAATTCTAGTTTCCGGTTAACTTTTTAGCTTAGCCTCCTTCACAGCGACATACGTCATGGCCAACCGATCCAATCATTTTAAACTTCAGCAGARGCCACGCCTCCAGTAAGAATCGTTTCTCTATAGCCGAGAGTCCAGACCCTCGTACAAAGCAAAGCGAAGGACAAGGGCCAAGGGAAATTTTTTTTAACAAAGACATGCATAGTTTACAACCCTACACACATCAAGTCTACTTGGACTAAAAGCCTGGCACATGCAAAGGCTCGTCATGTTTAGATTAATTCATTTTGCGCTCCATAAATCTGGATCCATTTCAATCTAATCAAAAACATTTGCGCATGTAAACGTAGCTACTGTTATGGGATGTTAACCCCAAACTACATCCCTCCCCTAAAAAAGACAAATTCTCAAAGAGATCTTACATATTTTACAAGAGGTCCTATGGCCTAAAGCAGTGTTTCCCAAAGTTGGGGTCGGGACCCTAAGTGGGGTCCCAAAACATCAAGTTGGGGTCCTGAAAAGATTTTCTGAATTAATTACATTTTTGCCTTAGTTGTTACAAAGGAGTGAGGTTAGTGTATTTAAAATGGATAAATGTAGTATAAAAATATTGTTACTACGCCCATGTTTAGTTGACCTGATACAAATATTTATCATCAAAAACAGTAGGGGGCTCAGGTC